CACCCGTCACACGCAAACTCAGCTTTGCGGAAATCACGGGCAATTTGTTAAAGCACCAATCCCAGATATCGAAGAGGCGCCAGTCTTTTTCAGCCTCGTCATCACCTGTCATATGCACACTCAACTTTGCGCAAATCACGGGCAATTTGTCGAAGATTTTAGGTGAAGGAGAAAGCACGTGAAAGTTTACTGTTCAATCATCCAACGGTTGCCGACACGAGTGAAAGAATAATACCTCTACAGGCGTTAAAGAACTTCCTATAACTGTCCACCTTCACCTTCCATAGCAAGGCAGACATACAGAGCCTTTCTTCATCTCCAAAAATGCTTTCCCAACGAAGCCTCTCGAGTCACTTAGTGTTCCTTATTCCTTGGGGTACCTCTGTAAGCCAATAACTTCAAAGCAAAAGTATCTCATATCACCAGGGTAGAAAGCAAGAGTATCTCATATCATGCGTTCTCCCTGTCGTTTCCTTTGTCCTTGCTCCTACCTACAAAGACAAGGATAAAGAAAATAATATGCCGGAACTTCCACTCAAACTCGGGTAAGGAACCGACTGCTTGGAACCCTTCCCTGATTGCCTACCTAGCACTGCTCTCGAGTACTCGCCTTCCACTGCTGCTGTACTTTCAAAGAAGCTGCCACATCTGCCTGGAGGACAGATAAGGCAAGTGAAAATGATACCTTGCAGCATGTGGAGACAAGGTGCAGAAGGAACAAGCAGAGAGGAATGCGGTCTGCACGGTCAACTCAGCAGAAGGAGTCCGAACTGAGGAACTCAAGAAGCTGCCACATCTGCCTGAAGAAACAAGCAGAGAAGAATGCAGCATGCACAGTCAACTCAGCAGAAAGAGTCTGAGATGAAGAACTCGAGAAGATGCCGCATCTGCCTGAGGACGGTGAACTCGTTTTGACCCTCAAATTCTTGGGTCGACTTACTAGGCGTTGTGGGCTGCACGTGCTGATTCACCACCCTTGAATCAAATCCTTAAAGATCAAGTCACCAACTGGAATAAAAGCCCATCAATCTTGAAGATCATACCATTGACCAAACTGCTCAGGTGTGAATTAGAAAGATTGAACAAAGAAACAGGTCGTCACCTTTACCTCGTGCCTGCTTGCCATGTGTTCGAGTCAGCCTTCAAGAATCAAGCCCCAACGGCCCTTGAAGAAGCTTCCAGCCGAATTCAAAATCAAGCCTCGACGGCCCTGGAAGAAATCACAAGTCTGATTCAAGATCAAGTGTCTACCACCCTTGAATCAAAACCTAGTTCAAGAATAAGCTGTGGAAAGTCAACAAGCGCAACAAAATACGTGCCGATTCATCCACTACCAAAGCCAAAGATCATCTACCACACATGAAGCTCCTTGTGGCCCAATTTCAACCTTCAAGATCAAGTCTCGACGACCCTTGAAGAAATTTCAAACAAAAGTTCAAGAACAAGCCTCAACGGCCCTTGAAGAAATCTCAAGCCCAATTCAAAATCAAGCCTCGACGGCCCTTGAAGAAATCTCAAGCCCAATTCAAGATCAAGCCTCGACGGCCCTTGAAGAAATCTCCAGCCCAATTCAAGATCAAGCCTCAACGGCCCTTGGATCGACATCTACAGTAAGGGACTTCAAAACGCATCTCCTACACGTGACAAGCACATGTATACGACGTGCCTTGAAGTGGGGGCATTTGTAGACATCGAAATTTCGGTAAATAAATGTTGACCGATAAATCAAAGTGTCAACGCTCATGTATTACATAAATTTTACACGTAGCGTGTGACTCAACGAAAATTGAAATGAGTTGGAAAAGTCATCAAATAGGACACGTGTCAACACCTGGCAGAAACGACTTATTTCATCTGGAATATTATATTCAAAATTAGGCATTGGAAAATTCTATAAATACAAGCCCATTTCATTCATTTTGAAAAAAAACCCAATTCATATTACACCTTGAAGCTCTGAAGCTCTGAAGCTCCGAAGCTCTCAAGCATCCAGGTTCCCGAAGAATCAAGAAAGCTCTCTTCGTTCTTCGTTCTTCGTCCATCGCTCTTTCAAGATCAAGCCCCGACGGCCCTTGAAGAAAGCACCATCGTTCATCATCCGTTCTTCCAAGATCAAGCCCCAACGGCCCCTTTGGATCGACAACATCAACAAATCCGCTCATCCGCTGTTCATCAAGCCCAAGCCCCGACGGCCCTTGAAGAAAGCGTTCATCGTTCATCACTGTTCTTCGAGATCAAGCCCAAAAGCCCTCGAAGATCCGTTCAAGCCCAAAAAGCTCTCGAAGATCCGTTCAAGCCCAAAAGCTCTCGAAGATCCGTTCATCACTATTCTTCGAGTTCAAGCCCAAAAGCCCTCGGAAATCCGTTCATCACTGTTCTTCAAGATCAAGCCCAAAAGCCCTTGAAGATCCGTCAATCACCATTCTTCAAGATCAAGCTCAAAAGCCGTTGAAGATCCGTTCATCCTCGTTCATCCAAGATCAAGCCTCGACGGCCCTTGGATCAATCGCACATCCCACAAATCAACACCTTACGGAGATCGAATCAGAGGATCAAATTAGAGAGAGATTGTAACCCAAAATCATCAAATACAAATATTTGTTTGTGCACGTCGTTCTTGTCTCTTTCGTTTCAGGAATTTTCCGTGTTCACAAAATTGTTTTTGAGTAAATAAAGCTTATGACAAGGGCTTTGATTCAGCACCATTCACATAAATATCAAAGCTCTAAAGAAAAGGGTAATAATTTCACCCACTGTAAATAAATAGAACTTGTGATAGGACTTTAAACCAGCATCATTCACATAAATATGCCAAAATAGAAAAGGCAATGATTAAGTCTCCATCTTTTTTTCTTTTTCTTTTTCTTTGTCTGCCACTTTCTTTTATTTCATCCTTTTTATTTTATTTTCATTTCATAGTTCTAAGTCCTTTTAGTTACCCAGGAAGTAATAGTAACAATAAGTCCCAATTGGTGTTCCTCCTCCGGTGAGTTTCGAAAAAGTCGAAACGGTTCCCATAAGTTTTGGAGTCAAGAGTAGTGTCTGCAACATATAAGAAGATCAAACCGTTTGATTTGGCTCAAATTTTAGTATGATATGGATAGCAGGATACCGAACAACTTTTGTGAAGAAACAATGATCTGAGTACAGAAAAAGGAGTTTCGGTAGTCATAAGATGGTTGTCCAGTTTTCTGTGGAATTGGAAACTGGGTTGGTGTTTCAGGCATCTGCGACAATCGCGCCGTTGAATTTTCTGAAAATTTGATATGTTATATTTACTGGGCGGATGAACAACTTTCAAGAAGGAAATATCTCAATCCAAGGTCAGCAAGTTGGAGTTCAAATGTTGTTTACATGGCTGTCAGATTTTCTGCCAATAATAATAATAGTTACATATACATATGCACATACTTACTAAGAAATATGAATATATACTAGCGATTATGCATATAGCTTTTGACGATGATTAGTAGTTGATGAACCAAACCGTTAAATACAATTATATATAATTTATGGAAGAAACTTGGCAACGGCATAATCAAATCAAAAGGGCACTTAACAAAAGTGAAGAACCTTACCTCCAATCCCTGAATTGAGTTAATCAGACACCAATTAAACTCTAACAACCGTAATTAAGCCGAAGAACATCTCATTACACAAAATTAAAACCTAACTTGATTAAATCCTCCAATTGGGATTTCTATTTGGAAGGAAGTTGTATAATAAATATCTGACAGCATCAAGATTCGTGGTACTGCGGAAGAAGAGTGAGATTTGGGTTGAGAGAATGAATAGAACATGGGTTGTCTATTGAGAAGAGGCCCACCTACTCGTCAAAAATATTTGCATCTCTTTCCTCCCAATCCCATCGCAGCTTCTCATCTCTCTCTCTCTCCCTCCGTTTTTCTTTTTTGTTCCCCCGGAAGAAGGTCGGTTCCCCCTTCCTTCTTTTCTTTTTCCCCCAATGGCTTTTTGTTTTCTCTCCCCCCTCCCGAGCAGAGAGAGAAGATGGAACAAAAAAGGGGCAATGAAGCCAAATAACCAATAGATTTATCTAGAAAAGAAGGGATTTTACAAAAAAATGCCCTTGACTTTAAACTCCCATAAAAACACCCTTGACTTTAAACTCCCATAAAAAACTCATTCTGAAACCAAATCTCGTTTTGCTTGCGTACACGGGTTCCTAGCGATGAATACTATAATATTATACTTAGTATGACTTTGTAAGGTCTACAAATTTTTAATGATTATTGACCAAAATTCAAACTTCGTAATTAGTTTAATTAAAATCTAAAGTTAATATAAATTCTCAAAAATAATATAAAATCTCCTTAATACCAATACGTAGTTTGCAATAGTGAAATCCAGGAACGGGATTAACCAAATGTATATTTACTTTAACAAAATTAGTCATACAAAGATATGAAGATGAAACGAAAAGATTTTCTTATCTGTGAGATTCCAACAGACAGAGGTGAGAGGTAGGTAGTGCTTCATCGGATTTATGGTGTGTGCTTTCCACTGACACAAGAGCTTCTCGTGCTGATAACGTGTTGTAAAGTCGACAGGTATGTGTGCAGTGGAATATAAAGTAAATAAGACACAATATTTACGAGGTTCAGCAAGGGTGCCTACGTCCTCGAGGCAGCAGTAGTATTTTCTTTCATTATCTGAAATAATAGGAGTACAAAATAACTCTCATTATTTTCTCTTTTCTCTCTAGTCTGGCTCACTGGTAATTTCCTCCGCATCTCTCTTCTTTCCTTTTCTTTTCCTTTTCTCAATTACTCCTTTTTTTCCTCTAAATGTTTTTCTCTCATCTCACTTCTTCCTTCCTCCATATGCTCTCATTTTATAAGCAAAAGATTACTCTAGCAACATTATTCACTTTACCAACTTTCCTCAAATTAATAGTGAAATACTTTGCATGAATAGTAATCCATCCGTTTTTCTTCATATGAATAATAGTCCATCTGATTTTTCTTTGGATGAATAGTAATAAAGTATTCATTTGGGCCATCTACATATTATATTACAACATTGAATAATTAGTATATGTTTTATTCCCAACTGCATAGTTGTTGTTTTATTGATAGAATCATAATATGGAAAGCAAATTAAGGTACAACCCAAATTACATTTTTACAGTCCTAACGGATAGTAGCTCCTTATTTTTTTTAGGTAACTTGGGCTCTGGAGATTATACTTTCAAAGGAAACATCACAATAAGTCGATATTTTAGGCTTATAAGGCCATGGGTTCTACTAGTGTAGAAACTATAAGATCTTTTATCATACCATTAGCATTAGTGTATCCATCTTCATGCTTGTACATAGCATCCATGGTCCGAGCAAAATTGAGAATACGAATTAGCAGGGGCATGGGGACAGCGGTAGGGTGGAGGCACGCTTCGTTTATGTCCTTCCATGCATTATTCACTTGTCTTTGAAGTTCGGTTATCGCTTCTTCTTCTGTGGCCCCATATTTCTTCATGTAACAGTTCACAGCTGAGATAAAATTTTCTTTCTCTTGCTCTAACTAGTGCATGAGGAGTAAGATAAAAAGGACCATTAATTAGTATAAGTATTAATGCAATCATAATAGTTGTGCTTGTCAAGATTTCAGTTAGGGGGCTATCAGTCCACTACTAATGGGTCAAGCAGTGATAACATTCTAACTTAACCACTTGTAGCCCAACAGGTATAGAGTTTTGTCACAAAAGCGTTTGGTGCAATTAGAAGTGGAACTACTTATATGAGTTATATTTTATTGTTTTTTGTGTGAGACTTTTTACATTCGACAATATTCATTAATACTATTTACATAAACGATTAAGTACCTTGTGTTCCGCTATGTCATCCATGAGTCTGGTAACTCATTAATACTATTTACATAAACGATTAAGTACCTTGTGTTCCACTATGTCATCCATGAGTCTGCAAACTGTTGTTGCAGCCTTCACTGCTGGAGGGGAAGTTAACAACCAATCAAATGAGTCTATTGTAGCTTCTTCCATTCCAACAAAGGATGTGGTTATTAGCAACTGGTAGCCACAGGTCACGAGTGAAACAGATATGTATTCATCCAGCGATGGCATGTGCTTCTGGCGGAACAATTTGGCTTCATCGAAGTAGCCTCTAACTTGTTTTTTCATCTGACACATACTAGATAATGAGATTACAATAATTCTTTATCATTTCTACTGTTAATTCTTGATATACAAAGATTATATTAAAACAATTAATTGTTTCTATGCATATTCTAAAGTATTTGCAGCACGTTTCTCTGGCCTTGTAACAACTTTAGACTCTAAACTAAGCATATATTGAGGAATAGTACCGCTTCTCTTGCATGGTGGATGCGATATAATTTCCCATCGTGTGCAAGCTTTTCATGAATTTCACTGTATACATCCAACAACGACCGATAGCAGACTTTCATATTCTCTGGAAGTTGATCCATGGCTGAGACGTCCCACCTGATCGAGTAATACATAAATCAGTTGTGTGTAATTAGGTTAGTTTTTCCTTTTTGATCGGACGGTGATGTAAGGTTAGATACTTTATATATAAGAGAATTTTAACTAATGATATATTCATACCTCTCAATATATAGCTTCAGTAAAGAGCTCTAGTTGTTCATTTGTACCATATTCATAAATGTCATCGAGAAGGGATACTATAGCAGCAACTTTGCATGATGTCCTCCTAGCAAAGGAATATTGAGGCTGAAAGTAGACTGACAAACCCCAGCAGAAGTAGATCTCAATCAATCTGTCTCTTGCAGAAGGTAGCTTGTTTGGCACGTCCAAGTCCTTCCACCACCTAAGTTACAAAAATAATTATTTATTAGTAGCTAGAGGTGGAGAATTCAACTCTTTAGTAAGTGATGTATATGGATGAATAATGAATTAATTTACCTTGTGATTTCGCTTAGTTCGTTCTGATGGACTCGTTGCAGTCGGTTGAAATCCAACTTGGCGAACGTTAGGAGAGTTTCATTCGGTGATTCTCTTAGTTCCTGGTAGACTGACAAGTAATACCTTGCTTCAACCCTTGGTAAACCCTTTCGGAGCGGCTGATTTAAGGCATGGGTTACTGCTTTTGCAAGTGGGGGGCTTAAACGGAATGTCGCCGACTCGAGATTAGTCGTGGTGAAGGTTAGTGCCTCGTCTAGTATCTCCTCTCCATGTATCCTAAGGTGTGTGGCTTCATACAAGCTTAGTAGTCCTACAACATCATCAACCAGTGATTCCTTGAATTTTCCATCACCGTCCTTGAAGTTGTTGAATAAGTCTGCATGACAAAACAAAATGGAAAATTCAGAACCTCAAGAAGCATTTAGATAAAAAACAAAAAAAAAACAAGAAAACAAAATATATGACTAGACCACCATCCGAGATTACTTACCGCATGAAACGTTATAACCTTGTTGTCTAAGCAATCGAAAATGAAGAGCAGCCGTGCACAGGTCATCCAAATCATAAGAGCTCCCGTGAATGTTTTGTAAAATTTCTTCAATTTCATTTCCAAAATGGTATGACACACCTAAGCGCTGAATGTCATCAATCAAGTCCAGCTTTTGGGAAACATTTTCAAGTGATGTCATTAGCATTCTTCTCACTTCTTCCTTCAGTTCTTGTACATGTTTTTCAAGTTAAGCATCCACTTCCTCCATAGGATCACATTTTGATTTAAGAAAAAAAGAAAATGCGTAACCTTTATGATATGTTTGAATGAGGAGGTTTCCAAGTACCAAAAGATATAGACTACAATTAATATAAGATGATTATAAGTCTGGTAACACATTAGAAAACGCATAACCTTTATGATGTCAATTTCTAAATTGTAAACATTGAGAAAAGAGAGGTACCTAGCCTGAAATAGTTATTGCATGGCAGTTTTCATGACTTTAAGAACTTGTTTTTCCCAAAAAAAAAAGTGTGAATTTAACTTTGGTAGTTAGATTCGCAACATGTTTGCCACGTTAAGGAAGGGAAAGATAAAATGATTTCGAATCAGTAGCATTTTAAATGATTAAAGTACTCTTTGGTTTTTTTCCTCTTCGTTTAAAATTACAAATTTAATTTTCATAATAATATAGTGTTCAAATTAATAATTTATTGTAGTAAGAAAGAAGTCTTACCAAAGCAGCATATGACAGAAAATGGTCACCCCAAATGCTGGGTGAAAAAGTGGTTGAAGGCTTAGGCCAAGGAACATCAAAAGTGTCATTTGGGTTTGAAGATTGAGATAGTGGAACTTCCACAGAAGACATATTTCAAAGATTTCAAATCTGAAGCGAACTAGCCAAGTGTTATTGCTTTTGAATCAAGTGCTGGTGTGAGTTCAGGAGCTCATAAGCTTTGCTATTTATAGAATCACTAACTAGCTACCGCACCCACTGGAAAAAAAAAATATCTACAGAAATTTTACCGGTCATCTTGGCTTTTTAAACTTTTTTTTATTACAAAAATTCTTGTCTTTATTTTTTGACAAATAATAGGATAATTTATATTAAATTTAACTAAATTAAAAAAAGAAAAAAAGAAAAAGAAAAAAGAAGATTCGAACACAAAATCACATGGAAAGAGGTGGAAGGTTGTGGGTATTCCGTACCAGTAAATGAGGAAGATGATTTTTGCAACAGTAGTTGAGGAAGATGAGGAAGATAAAATTCCAAAAAAAAAAATAGCAGCTATAGAAGTGTAGATCTTTATATAGTAGCAATAGTGGCACTGGGCAATGGGGATTAAATAAATATTAGGGTTGATGATGACGATTCCTCTTCTTTTCCTTTGATCGAATCATGGGAATGGATTTAGTTATTGAATCATTAAATTAGAGGAAGAGATTAGGTTGCTACGCTGCTTTTAGTTATTGAATCATGTGGCTGAGGTTTATTAAGTGTGTGATTCTGATCATCAATAATATTTGTCTTTAATGGATATCATTCAGAACGCAGCATATGCATGCCGATATCGTTGAAATCACTAGAACAATAGAAGTACGTAGTCTTACCTCATGTAAAGTTTCTGAAACGTTGATTTCACATTTCATTTGTCAAGATCAATTAACGTGTTTGTAGTTTCATTAATTCTAAAATAGAGGATGATAGTGGTTTTGAGAGTTGAAGAAGATAAATAAACTTGGGATATAAATGTGAAAAATAATTTGGGGTGTTTTTAGAATTTTTTTACTTTTTTTAAAACCTTATCAGGTTAGAATTATCATTACATATTAGGTATGTAAGTCATTTAATATTAAATTTTAATAAGGGGTGTATTCAACATATTGTGGGGTGCTAATAAAAAAAACTTTTTTTTTTGAAATGGACCCATTTCTTTGATTAGTTGTCTAGAATCGTTGACAATGATTAATGTATTTGATTAATCACTAAAAGTTGATAGCGTTGTATATGATTAATTACTAGTAGTTGTTAGTGTTTGGGTAATTAATTAACATTGGGCTGAAAAATATTAAAAGCCCAAGCATGCAAGAGTCCATGTCTTCAAGCAGATCTAGTTTCAAAAGCGCACAAATCTCATCAGCCTCCCCAGAAACAAGCCTAGTGGATTTCTCACAACTACCTACGCGAGCAGTTTCCTCCTTCTCAATAAGCGAATCAGTCTCAATAGCAAGGGGAGTGGGCTTTGGCACCACTTTAGCAGCAGAGTCCACCTTATAGCTCTTCACAGTTGCAAGCCTCTCCAAAGGTGAACCATACTTAGATCTCAACGAAGTACTGGTTTCAGCATTGGGGGCACAACAGAACCCCTATGCTGAGCAATCCTATCGGCAATCAAACTAGCCATCTTTGGCACAGTAGGTGTCACTAGCTCAGATTTTGCAGCCCTATATTTCTCCCCCTTGGAAGAAATCAAGTCAATCACAAGCCTGGGGGCAACCGGTAAACCCTCGCATGCAGCGGAAGAAGTCTTTGGTTTTTTCTCAACCAATGTCTCTTGAGCAGGCAGAAAATATCTCTTTTTTTCTCACCTTTATTTGCAGCAGGCTCCACAATAGCGATCGAACGAGCTAATGCCTCTGCCTTGATCAGCTTTATTTCCTCTCTCAGGAACAGCCTACCTTTCTCTTAGTGAAGAAGACTAAGTAGCTAACGCTATTCATGGTACTCAGCAGGGATACCTAAAGCAACATGCACTTTCTTCATGTCTAGAGAGGTCTTAGGAGTTAAGCCAAATCTTAAATCTACATAAGCAAATGAGAACAATCAACAAATTAGAGAGTAGCTTAGCAAAAGCTCAAAGCAGCCGATTGACTAAGCAATCTACTTGCAGGTAATGAAAGTTGTCAGAACACGCAACTCATGGGAAGAATCAGACTGCCACTCTCTACTTATCTCCAAAGTCTCCTTAGTCCAGTCATGATCTTCCTTGCTCGAATGATCAAAGAGCCTATGGCTGGATCGCAGCTGCCCAAGTTCATCGATGTGGCCTATGTCAAAGAAGTACCAGAATTCTTTGACAGTTAGATCCAAGTCAAAGAATTGGCTTAGATTGATGAACCCCACCATCACACGGACCGTATTTGGAGAACATTGAATGGGGGTACACTTAATGGAGCAAAGCATTTGTTGGAAGAAACGCAACATTGGAAAGGTAAATCCCAACACAAAGTAGTAGGGGTGAAACTTGATGACTCTTCGTGCCCTACTACATGGCTCATGGCTGTTACTTTCCTTAACATGTTTCACACACACCCCCGACAAAATGGTGTGCCTATATGCCTCAAGAGAGTCACTAAATGAGTCATCGGAGCTAATTTTGAAATGAGAAGCCTCAAAGTAGCCTACCTTACTCAAAGACCCACCTTGACGATATAATGTTGGCACGCCATCATCACTCTTGTGGCTCGAGGAAGACATGCTCGAAGAAATTATACAAAGACGTGAGGAAAATTCGTTAGACGGCTACACAACAACAGCAACAACAACTAAAAAAAAAGTCAGGGCTTCAAGCCCCACGGCCTAAGGATCAAGCTCAGCAGCCCACAAGACCTTTTTCTCTCTCTCTCTCTCTCTCTCTCTTAAGTACACAGGCCCGAGCCCAGCAAACAAAAAAAAAACTCACGGCTCAAGCCACAAAAGCCCAATAACCTCTCCAGGACCCGCTGCCTGGCCTGATTCCTTCTTTTCCCGCAGGCCTCATGACCCAAAATGAATGGAATGAGGCTGGTGCCCTACTCATCCTCTCTCTTTCTCTCACTCTCTTACATGGGCCGAAGCCCAAGTCTACCTCACCAGCCTAGCCTGCGCCAGGCCTAGCCCAACGCCTATCAGCTCGGTTCGAGCCGAGCCACACCTGGCCCAGTCAGCCATCATCACACCAAGCCAACAGCAGTCACCCACCCATGGCAGCCTTGTCGTGGCCCTCTCCAACCGATTTTTTCCATATCCTTGACCTCCATTGAGCCAAATTTCAAGCCTCGAGGCTCCTAAAAATTAAGAAGACAAGGAAAATTAATTTTTCTTTCCTTGGTGCAACGTGAAGACGAAAAAAGCAATGAAAGACGATCATTTGCACGAGCAAGTGTAAAAGACTGCTAGGGGAGGGGGAATAAATATCCTCTAGCTTTCTCTCTCTTGTAGGGTAGAATAAATTTCTCTTTGAAGTTGATTTAATAATCTACTTAAAATAGACTTAAATAGAATTTAGAAGTAATTTATTTCTCTTT